CTTATAGTGGTAGAGACAGATAATAAACAAAGAAATAAATATGAAAACTTTCAGGTGATGATAAGTGCTGTGAACAAAGTAGAGAGTATAGAGCAATAGAGGGAGAAGGTGCTGGTTCAGGGGGAATAATCATGGGAGGCCTTACTGGGAAGTGATGTTGGTGAGAAAGCTAAATACAGTGAGGAACAGGCAAGTTCATGTTTGAGGTAGGAGGATTTCAGATTGGAAAAAAATACCAACCTTGAAAGAGATACATTTGAGTGAGTGGTGTATTTGTTTCCTGGTGCTGTTTTAACAAGCTATCACAAGTTCATACAAATAGTTCAGGATCTCAGAAGTCTTACAATCAAGGTGTTGTCGGGCCCATTCCCAGAGGCTCTATGAAAGACTCTGTTTCATTGCCTTTTCTAGCTTCTGGAGGCCACCTGCAGCCTTTGGTGAATGGCCCCACCATCTATTTTCACAGCAAGCCTCTCAGTATCTTTCAATGTCTCTGACTATGACCCTCCTGCTTTGCCCTCTTGTAAAGACCTCTGTGGTTGCTGTGGGCCCACCCAGAATATCCAGAATAATCTCCTCATAGTAAGATCCTTAAACTGATCACATCTGCAAAAAGCCTCTTTTTGCCTTATAAAGTAACATCTTCACAGGCTTCAGGGATTAGGATTCCAGCATCTTGGGTGAGGGGCATTATTTCAACTAAGGCAAATGATTTGCAAACTTGACTGTGCATTAGAAAGACTGAAGGCTTTAAAAAATTCTGATAACCCTGCGTGCACTCGAAGACCAATAATAACAGAATGTCAAGGAGTATGACCCAAACAATGGTTGTTTAAACATCTCCATGTAAGTCCAATGTGCAGCCAGGTTGAAAAACACTGGTTTGGTTTTTCTGTTGCAGCCCCACACCCTTCACCCTACCCCTCATTTTGCTACCCATGTCTAAATACAGTTGAGCACATCCTGGTTAGAGAGCGATTATTGTGCACCCAGACAACCTGTAGCCAACAGCAGAGGACTCCAGTAGTTTTAAAATTATTTTCACATATGGATTAGAGTAGCCTGATTATGAAGATTACTACAGGGGCAAGTAAAGGGAAAAAGCTCCTTGTAAAAGCAAGCTACCCCTTATAAGGGAGGCCATTTCTTATCTATTCCATTTAGGTAACTTAGCAACTATAGGAATGTTGCAGACTAGAGATGGGATTTTGTCCATATTCCTCAATTTCCCCCTTTTTAAAGTAAACTTGAAACAAATTCATATTGTGCTTTCTCAAATGCTCTTTGCATCTTTGCTTTTTCTATTACTTCCTACATGAAATTCCTTCTTTGTTTATCTCAAAGTTTCCAATTTGTGCTCTCTTCCCTCAAACCCCAGACTGGTCAACCATTCCCTGAAGCATTCTAGGATGCTTGAGCCTTCAGGAAGCCCTCGGGTTGTTGGCTGTAATGTCATCTTACCCTTAACTAGAACTGCCTTTCATAATTTTTCTCCTTTTATTTAAAATCTTGTCAATGGGTTTATAAACTTGTTAAAGTAGAGGGCCTGAATTACATGTTTTAATTGTCAGTAGATAAACGTCTCATTCATAGGCAGTGATCAGTCAGTTGTTAATGATTTGAAATTCCCTTTTGCCCTGGAATTAAACAAGTATTCTAAGTTTTGTCCACACACAAAACTTAGTTAAAGATTACTGTTGTCATCTTAGCTCCACTAGTTCATTTCACACTGGATTATATTTTTCTGCCTAATGTCAATTTCTCTGAAGTCTGAGTTTTGTTCATTGATAAGTCTAGCACCTACTACGGTTGTAACAATAACTACCTCTGAATTAATACATAAGAGTATTCCAGGTACCCATTCACTGCATCACATCCCTGTAGCTTAAGCTGCAGGAATTGGATCCCTACACATCCCAGATAGAAAATATATGGAAATTTGCAGTGCTTTCTTAGTGTTTTTAGAAATGAATGAGGCTTTTCTCTGTCCAAAATGAAACCCATTAATAGATGAACAAAAATTTAAGAATCTAAAGTTATTGGTAATTTTGTTATCAATATATTGAGAAGCAGAGCAGATTGATATCTCTGTACATAATTTGCTAAGTATTTTATTTTTTTAATTAGTAGCCTATTATTTAACTATAACTATGGTCATTTTATTGTATTAATTAAAAAAATCTTTAAGAAATCTTTTACCTGAATTGTATAAAAATACTCTTAAGTTCAACACATTAAGAAATTTTATGTCTCTGAAAATAGAATTAAAACAAATGTGAAATACGCCACATTTCAGGATCAGTTGTTTTCTAGTACCATAATTTCTTCATTTTCAGTGTTTTAGACTTTGCAATTTTTGCTTCATAGAAATATTTACTTATATAAAACTTTATATGTATTTATATAGATATAAATATTTATATAGAATGTTTATCCAGTTGTACATAAAGATAATTTAGATATTGAAGTGACTACAAGTTTTGAGAAGAGTAGTGATATTTGTCTGCCTAATGGCTACTTTTAGTCTTTACTTTTCATAATTATATTATGGATAATTGTATTTATTATGAATAATTTATTATATTTATAATGTAAAAGCCAGCAAAATGGCCATGCCTTCTGAAAGTCGTAGAATTGTGTATTAACTTAGAAAAGGCCGGATAACCCAGCTTTCTGCTTTGATCACCTGGAGACTGGCTCTTGCCAACAGCCTGGAGTTTTCAGGAATTTTCAGTATGAGACTGTGCATAAGACTGAGGCAGACACCAGAATACCAACTTAGTAATTCCAGCAAGAATGATAACGCTTGCACACCGTGAGAAGTCTCCTTGAAGTCATGCTGCATCTGAAACCAGGAAATAACTAAAAGTTCTTTTATTGATTTATTCCTATAAATCGCAAATACCTTAATGTATTTTAAATCTATTCTGTCAGCCCATTTTTTTTCAATATGGGAATCAAAAGTTTGCTTGGAGAGCATGGGAGCAGGCCAGTGGAAGTTAAATATCCCCAGTGTTCAGAGTTAGTGTGTATAATTTAATGTATTGATTTGATGTTGCCAATGAGACTAAGATTATTCTAATTCTGTTAACTCCAGCCCCTGATTTCTTTTCTCCATCCTTGAATGTACTTGAAGTAAACCTTTATGATAAGATTAGAAATAGTTAAGGATATCTGAAATGTGTTGGGTCAGTCTACTTCTTTAGGCAGTGCTTAACATGGTAGCCACCAGTATTTTCTTTTCTTTCTCTGTTCTTCAGTGGTTCAAGATCCCTACTGTTAACATATCTTTTTCACATTTGCCCATACCTTTGGTCAGTTTATTATCCAGTCAGACTGGCCATGGACCATTTCTTTATTAGGAGCCTTTGTATTTAATGTTGACTTTATAGTTTAAGTCCTAGAAAGCAATCCGATTTCCTAATTTTGGAGTTCTGTGGTTTTGTTTTTGGATAAGGCTGTGTGTCATACTGTAGTTTTAGAATGTGTGTTAAAGTAGACAACAGCTATGGTTTATTGAGCATCTACTCTGTGATAAATGGTCTACAAGTTGTTTTCAGATGGTGCACAGTTCATTCTCAAAAAGCTTTATAAGTAGGTATCACATCCCACTTTAACGGTGAGCAAATTGAGATAGTCTGACTGTTTCTAAGTAGTGGAGTTTTTTAATCCATGTTTGTCTGCCTCCAGAGCTCTTATTTTTTTCTACAGTCTTATTATTTCTTAATAGAATGTCTTCAGTACACCGATACTTTTCTTTCGAAACTTCTAGTGCTAAGAATAGCATTATTCAAGCAAGATTAGAGACATCTCTTTTTTGTATTATATTTAAAATGTAAAAACCAGTGAAATATATATGAAGTGGTATTGTAGTCAGTTAATACCCGGCCTCCTACCCCACTCTCCTGGATAAGGATAGATGATTCTGTTAACACTCTGTTTGTTGAACAAAACATAGATTTTTCAAGGTCAGATCAAATTGTGAATAGAAGAGTTTATTTTTTATTAAAAATTTTAACTATATACACATCTGTCAAACTTTTAATGAAAGAAAAGGGAAATCTATTTAAAATATTGCCACATATTTTTACTTCTGATTATATTCTCAATCAGATGTAATTACAAAAATATTTAATTTTGTTCAGTTATCTAACTGTATTGTCATATAGATAGTAGCTTACCCAAACAAAACATGCTTATTTGATTTTTTTTTACTTGGGTATCTGAGGAGTAAATAATTGTGGTGTCATATCTAAATCTGTCATAGAATTATGAAAATAATATTGAAATATTTTTATTTTCTCACCTTTTAATACTATTCTGCAAATTTGATATTAGAACTAAATGTCTCAATTGGGTGACTTAGAATTTTAGGGAAGAAAAATTCTCAAATGTTTCAAGATTTACAGTAATTATAAAATTTATTCAATTCTTAAGCTTTAAACAAATATCAGACTTCTTTGTCTATCGTGTGTTCTGAGGTTTACATATAACGAGTACCTGTATTTCACAATAATCTTACCTTAAATTAAATGCAAATTTTTATAATGACAATCATTTATTTATTTTGTCTAGTTTTGGTGAAACACATTTTAGTTATTTCCTTTCTTTTAACTCCCAACTGTATTTGCTATTCATAGATGTTCTGTTTTCAATAAAGTCTATCAAAGTGTAAAACTAGATGGGTATTTTTCTTTTCTTTAAAATGGAATGGTCTTTCATTATGCAGTATTCTTAGGTGAATTCTCTTGTTTAAGGAGCCAGAATACAAGAGAGTGCTATATTAGTGTATTATTCTCCCAACAAACAAGCACTGTTCTGTTGCTACCTGCTTGGCCATTGTTTCTGACTGTGTGTGCTTTGCAGTGGTATTTGGATGGTTTCCTGCTCTCTGCCAGCCCAGAAAGGCATTTCTGTTACAATGGCCCCTAACCACACAATGACGGCATTAAGGATTTATGTGGAGGTTTCATTATTTTCTCCTCTTTTGTTCCTTCCAGGATGTCTTCCAAGCGACCAGCCTCTCCGTATGGGGAAGCAGATGGAGAGGTAGCCATGGTGACAAGCAGACAGAAAGTGGAAGAAGAGGAGAGTGACGGGCTCCCAGCCTTTCACCTTCCCTTGCATGTGAGTTTTTCCAACAAGCCTCACTCTGAGGAATTTCAGCCAGTTTCTCTGCTGACGCAAGAGACTTGTGGCCATAGGACTCCCACTTCTCAGCACAATCCAATGGTAGGTTTCTCGTGGACTATTGCGCCTACACTCACTTTTTGACCAGTCTAGCCTTCTAATAATAGTTTAGCTTCAGCCCTTTGCTTTGCAATGATCATCTGTTTAATAGCCATACACAAGATTCACTCCTACCATCTTAGAATTCTTTAGAAGTAAATTGATTTCAGTAGGTAGTGAAAGATATGCTATCTTTTGTGTCTCAAGAATTCTGCTTTTGAGATACTTATGATTTAATTTGAGGGAAAATGAAAACATGGAAATATAAGAATGATTTTAGGGTAACACATTTAAAATTAGCAGAAAAGTTAGACGTCGTACCATTTCTAACAAAAGCCTCTTCCGGATAGAAGTACAGCATACTTTGAAGATGTGCACCGTAATAAATCTTTTTACATTTTTTTCTTTGCCATTTCTATTCCAGTAAGGAATCCTGGAGTTTGGGCTCCAGTATTCCTTAAAGTACTGGCAATATTGTAGAAGTATCTGTTTCATAGAGACTGTAGTTTTTAATGTGACTACACTATCATTTCTAATTCAGCCCCATTCATGCTGTTGTTTTGGTAATTCAGCAATTCCCTGGTGTATCCTATTCCAGAATTTGAAACTCAGAATAATTCATCTGGCTTCTCATCCTGGGATCTGGATCACTGGGAAACTGTGGTTTCACAGATGAGAAGAGAGAAGGCAGCATTGCCTCTTTGGCTGAAGCTTAGACAGCAGACACACAAATGAGGCATTTGGGCCTGTCAGAGGAACACAAATACATGGAATCCACTTGTTGGCCAGGTGGCAGGGCACTTAGCTGCCAGCAGAGCCACCCTTGCCTTTCCACATGGCTGCCAACGTGGATGTCACATTTTTGTAGCCTCTCCTCCTCTTCACCTTCGGGAATGACAATGCCATTGATGTGAACCAGATTCCAACAAACAAAAATGTTTCATCACACATCCCCATATCTTTAAAGACAGCTCTGATTCTATTAAGTACTTTTTTTTGCTTTCTCTGAGGAAATCATTATGCATCATAAATGTGCATAGTACTGAGATATGCCCACTTGTTGATGTTATTGCCTAAATACACGTGGGGTTAAATCAACAAGGAGAATCAGATGTCTTCTAATAGTTGTGAAAGAGACACTAATCTTTGGTAGTCATATTTGATTTAAATACTCTCATTCAACATTTAAAGCCTTATAGATAAAAATTTCTATGGGCATTTAACTGTGTGCAAGCTTTTTCTACCAAGAATAATGTTTTAGATAACACTTATATAGCACTTATATAGATTTTAAGCATATTACACATATTAACTCCTTTAATCATCACAGTATTTCATTGAGGTGTTATTAGTAATCCCATTTTACACGGGAAGGAGCTGAGGCACAAGGAGGTTAAATAACTTGTTCCAGGTCATAGTTCATAAGTGGGAGAACCAAGGTTTTACCCAGGCCAGTCTAGTTTTAGAGCCCATGCTTACATACATTATAAGCTCTTCCCAAGAGCACAGGTGTATTTTATTTGGCAAGTTAAGTCATACTGCCCATAATCTCCCCCTTCTCCCTCCACTTCGAGTTTATGGTAGTTGTGTGCAATGAATGACATGACCTTTTGCCTCCTCTCACGGAGCAGAAACTGGGAAAAGAAAGTGGAAAGCTGGTGGTGCACAGTTCACCAGGGAGGAGATGTCAGGCTCTTCATTTGGCATTGCCTCACTGCTTATGCCTTTTTTCTCTCCATGTGTTCACTCTTGCTTTTCCTCAGGGAATGCCCTATTGACAATGCTTCTTGGTCTGGTTTCCTTGAGATACTTCTGTAAACATAAAGGCGAGTTTGAAGGAGTGGATGTAAATAGTTATGATTAGAAGAAAACCACAAAGATAAAGGCAAGATTATTTTAAGTATACTCAAGGATGGGTATAAGAAAGAAATATTAAATTACATACTGTAGTTGGTAGGAGGGAATTCAGTGATGCAGGATGCAGTGAAAATGAAACCATTCAGTGTGTGATGGAAAATTCAGTTTAACTAAATAAAACTATAAACTGCCTGCTTTGTACCAAGTTTTTTGTTGAGTACTATGGAAATGGATTCAAATCAGACACAACTCCTTTCCTCAAACAACTTTGTCTAGAGGAGAAGTTTTTAACTGGGGTGCATGGATCTGAAAATGAATGGAGAATTCTGTATGTGCACATGTTTGAGTAGGAATATGGTGTTCATCAGATTTTCAAGTAGATCTGTAACCCAAATAGGTTAAGATCTGCTGTTCTAGAAGTTAAAACAGTTTGAATACAAATGATTTCACTTCATTTTACTGACATCACAACTGACAGTTTTCTCTTACTGTATGTCTAATTGGTTTCTAAATTTGTTTCTCCCTCAAATGTTTCTTGATTCCACCAGCTTTTCGCCTCTTGAGTAGGCAGTTGGAAGAGTCTCCTATGTCATCTCAAGTTTTCAGCTTCTTTTCTTTCCAGTCTTTCCTTCAACTTCCAGAAGATTTGTTTCCCTGAGAAATGAGTTAGCTTATTTACCCTACTTTGGAATCTGCTGTGTCCTTGGTGCTTATGGGATTTAGTGTAAAAGTCTTTATCTTAGCATAAACTACTATACAGACCAGCATCAAATTACAGCTTTCCTGTCCTCTCCTGCCACATCCTGCCGTGGGACCCATGCTCCAATCATGCCAGACATTTGAAAAGTGTTCATAGACATACCAAGTGACCTCAGATGACATAGCTTTATTCGTTCTACCTGGAAAACCTCTCTTTTCATGTTTTATGGTCCCCATGTGTTGTGTATCTCACAGAGGACTGGGCTCAGTGATTGCTTCTTCTTAGATGTTTTCATTGACCTCCCGAGGTGGGGTGGTTGCTTTGTAATTCTTTTATCTATGGCACTTGTTTATAACTTTTCCAATGGCCTATATTATAATTTGTGTGTTTACATGCCTACTTTTTCATGCATTTCTTGAAGGCATAGCCATATATATTTGTATTTTTGTTGTGCATCATATAATAGATAATTAATTTATGATTGCTGACTAAATGGCAGAGTTTATATGGATGATTAAATATATGTTTTGGGCAAAGTTGTTAAGACCATTTTCATGGTGAATATGCTGATTTTCTAGGACATTTAAAACTCAGAAAGAATCTACTAATGTAGTATATTCACCAAGCAGAAAGTATGTTATAATAGCTATGATATATTCAACTGTTAAGCTTATTAAGACATTTCACCCATTTATCAAAATGATTGAATTATCTTTATAGAATTGTTACTTAACACAAACACTTTATATTTCTGCCTAGATACTAGATAATTGTCATATTCACACAACACGTCCTTTTATTTCAGTAGAAAAATGCATTTTATATACTTCTATTCAATATCTTTGAAAACAATAGAATGCTTCACGGTCTTTGTATCATAGAGTTCAATTAGGGGAAAACCAGCTCTCTAGATTTCATTGCCAACTTATATGTGACATTCATGCTATATTCTTAAATAAAAAAGAAAGATATTGAGAGGACTACATTTTTATCTCTCACATAGTTTAGAGGCAACGTAAAACTGATGAGTAATCTTTGTAATGATGGCTTATAGAGGCATACTTTCAACATAAAGTTTAGGTTGGAAAATATTTCCTGAGATATAAGTTCTATATGCTTCATAACTGTTGTCGTATAAAAAGTTTTGAGGAATTAGCGTCCAGATCCTTTATTCATATTCAGGATATGCAATCACTGGCATTTGGAAGTGGGTCACTAAGGATTCAATTTTTTTCTTTCAAAATTTGTGTTTGTTACCTTAGTATTTTCGAGAAATAAACTAAGGTCCTCACCAACAGCCACTCCAAAACAGTTGTAACTGATATGAGTGCTCTGGCTCCTTCTATTCTTGGAAGGTTTTGCTACTATTCAGAGTACACTATGGATGAACTGTATGAAGCAGATTATACACATGTATTTATAAAGTACTGTCAGATTTTTAATCAATACAAGATTGAGATGCAGATAGGTGTAAGAATGAAAAAGAGCGTTGGTTCCTTCTGTGAAGTACTTACAGTCTTGCCAAGCAATTAACAGCAAATCTTATTCTCACATTATCTTCAAAAAGGTAAAAGGCAGGGTTGGCAAGTCTGATTCTGACATGAATGGAAAAGCAGCCCTCAGTTTTATTTTTACTGAAGGCCTGACCATCTTGCTCCACTTCTGTTTTTTAACATGCGGTTGGAGGCTGTCACTTCCAAGTTACAGAGACAAGCAAGACTCACTAACTTCTGGCTTATTTTTAATAGTGGATATGATGTAGATGGATTCATTTCATGATGTGAAGAACTATTCTGGATATGTCCCCGTGTCATTTACATGATTATTTATGAGTACCAGAGAGAGTAAGTTGGAAGAAAAATCAAGTAGGGCATTAGAGACAGCCCAGGGGCTAGAGGGTGTCCATTTGGGGGCATATCTTCTATCGCTCTACTTCTGTTGGCGAGATTGTTGTTCTCGTGTCAAATGTAATGTGAAATGAAAGTCTTGACCACCTGTGGTTACTGAATTATCAGTTGCTTTTTTTCCCTCCCACAAAAATCTTGTCTCAGCCAAACTCCCTTTTTGATCCTTAAGTCTCTCTTGAGTTGATTGAATGGCTTTGTATTAAGTGTAGAGTGGCTGCTTCCCAAGATTGATTTTTAAAATATGGGCATTTATTTTAACAATATAATGTTTTATTAAAAATAATTTGAGTTCCCCATTCTACTGATAGCAGAATTACATGTGAAATAAATGCTATGTTTGCGTGTATTTTTTAAAATTTTAAAGATCTATTGGATTTGGAAAAATGTTGTTATGTTTTAATGTCTTATTTATTATTTATATTGACAACATTTTTCTGGAATTATTAAAGAAATCTGGGTCTATATTAGGTTCAATAAAAAACTTGTATCTTAATGTGTTTGAACATTTCAGGGTCACATCATGAAGCAACATTCAATGA